AGGCCGGCAGAGGAGGGAAGTTGGTGGCAAACAGTCTGACAGGTGAGCAGTTAGACATCAATCAGGCTGGCAGGTGAGTGGTTATGGGGTGAGTTGGACATCCCTCGAGGGGGTCCCAAATTGCAGAGAATGCAGGCTGGGCTGAAGGTGCCTATACCTTCTACCATCCCCCTCTAGTATTTTAATATTGCTATTTGCCCTTTCTCTATAATAGAAGAGACAGAGATGAAAGAAAATTAGTAAAATGTATATGAAAATCTTTCTCCTGTCAGAATCTGGGGTGTGCCATGGGACCCAGAGTCAAGTCTCCACCAACCCGTGCACACCTTGAAATCGCACAAAACCCAGTCCCAGCCAGCCCACCACCATTGGGCAAGATCCAGACCAGGCCAGCCCCACCCCCATCTAGCCCCGCCAGGCAGAGGGCGCAGCCTCAGGTCTCCCATCAAGCCCCACCAGGAGGGGGGCACAGCCTCAGATCTCCCGGCCTGGCACCAGGTTGGGGGGCACAACCTCTGGTCCCCTGGCATACACTGGGCAGCACAGCCTGAGGTTTTTAGCCTGGCCCAGCACCAAGCAGCCTCAGGTCCCTGTTGATCACTCATTAAAGGAACCCTGCCTCCACTGTGGGTGCAGCCATCTTGTGTTACAGGAACTCTGCCTCAGCTGTGGGTGCAGCCATCTTATGATGGCATGAGGGTTAATTTGCATATTACCTCTTCATTATATAGGATGCTCAATTAACTATGCCACTTCATCAATTAATCAGCTTCATTAAATGGCTTCTTGCTTTTCTCTTGTTCTTCCAGATGAGTCTTCCAGGGTTATCAAAGATGATCAGTTCTAAATAATAATAGCACCAATTAAAGCATCTATATAGTTTGCCAAGCATTTTACATGTGATTTCATTTTTCAACTGTGTAAGGTAGGCATTACATTTCGGCTTTATAGAGAAACTGAGTATCAAAGAGGTTAAGTAACTTCCCTAAGGTCACATAGGTGTTGGCAGAGTCAGAATTTGAACCCAATTCTGCTTAGCTTTAAAACTTACACTCTTTCCACTATACCTTCCCATCTCTGGAATGAAATGTTCTGGTCTTCTAGCTCTACCTTTTAAAGAAACATTCCTTTCTATCCTATATAATAAAAGTCCAGTGACGGAACAGCGGAACAACCAGAACGACCAGTCACTATCATGCGCACTGACCACCGGGGGCAGTCGATCATTGCAGGAGCTGCCCCCTGGTGGTCAGTGTGTTCCCACAGTGGAAGCACCATTTGGCTGACCGGGATGAAAAGTTGCTCCTACTGCAAACCCTGGGTTAATGGGTAGGAACCTCAGCTGCGATGGTTGCTTCCTCACTCCCTGCTGCCTCCTCTGGATGCCCACAGGCCATGCAGCGCTGCTGCAGGGATTGCAGAGCTGACCCCAGAGGCTAGGAGGCGGGTTTGTGGCCACCACGGGACTGAGGCCTACTCTGCTGCCTCCCAGTGCTATTGTCCCTGGGCCTGGCCCCAACAGGGCCCTCAGAGAGGCAATTGCTCCAACTCCATGGAAAATGCCAGACCAATCACAGCTGCTTGGCTAACCATGATGAACAGTGCTCCCACAGTGGGAGGATCCCTGCAGGCCATGCCCCCCAGAAGTGCACGAGTCCCATGCACTGGGCCTCTAGTCTCTAAATAAACATCAGGAGGCAATTTGGTATAGTAGCTCTGACCATGAGCTCTGGAATCAAACTGCCTGGGTTCAAATTCCAACCCTACAACTTATTAGCTGTGTAACCTTGAATAAGTTTCTTTCTCTGAGCCTCAGCTTCTGAATCTATAAAATGGCCCTGATAATAATAGTTCTTCTCTCATAGAGTCATAATTTTTAAAAAGATGGCCGATGTAAAATAATTACTATGGCAAATAGTATACTAGTACATACTCTCAATAAAGCAGACCAATTATTATCATATTGCTATTACGTCTCCAAATTCTTTTTTTAAACATCATTTTTATTGTCGATAGTATTTCTCCCCCTTCCCCCCACCACCTAGTTCCCACCCCGCCCCTTCACAACTCAATGCATATCCTATATAATAAAACCCTAGTATGCAAATGGACTGAACAGCAGAGTAACCGGTAGCTATAATGAACACTGACCACCAGGACGCAGACGCTTGATGCAGGAGCTGCCTCCTAGAGGTCAGTGCAATCTCACAGGGCGAGCGCTGCTCAGCCAGAAGCTGGGCTCAGTGCAGCAACGGTGATGGGGAGCCTCTCCCACCTCTGTGGCAGCACTAAGCATGTCCGACTGCCATCAGTTGGACATCCCTCGAGGGCTCCTGGACTGTGAGAGGGTGCGAGCCAGAGTGCACAGATTTCATGCACCAGGACTCTACTATAATAAAAATAAGAATGAATGAGAACAAAATAGCCAAAGGACCTTTTCTTTACGACCTTGGGTTTTACATGAACACACTAATTTTGTAGGAGCGTGTTGACACAGGGTGTATGCCAGATAACTACCCTAAAAACCTGATTTTTTTCTGGACCTCAAAATGGCATTATTCTTACTACTTTGCTGCTGTTGCTATTTCTTTCCCATGTAAGTGTTCTCCACACAACAGCCAGATCCTCCTAAATCTTAAGTTAAATCACATCATTTGTCTACTTAAAATCCTCAAATGGCTCCCCATCTTGCTGGGTAAACTCTGAGTCCTTGCTAGGGCCTACAATACCCTACATGATCACTGTACATCCCTGTCCCACCCCCCAGCCTCAATCCATTTCAAGCATATTTCCCAGATTTTCTTACCACTCTCCTTACTTCACTCCAGCCGTAATGACCACTGTTCTATCTTAGCTTCACAGCATGCCGCTTGGGGCTTGCATCACTTCTACCTAAAATGTTTTTCTCCTAGAAGCCTACATTGCTTGGACACCTAATTCATGCAAGTCTCTGCTGAAATGCCATTGTCCCAATGAGGCTTTCTCTAACCATCTTATCTCAAATAACAACACCCCATGGACATTCTCGGACACCTTTACTCTGCTTTTTCTCCATAGCATCAATATATTGATATATGTATGTGTTTATTGCCTATCTCCCCTCACTAGAACATAAGTTCCACATCGACAGTTTGCTTTTGTGCACTGCTAAACACCTAGGCACAAAGCAAGCACTTCAGTTTGTTGAACTGGTTTTTTTATATATTCTATAGGGGTTTTTTTTTTACAGAGAGGAAGGGAAAGGGTTTAGTTAGAAACATCGATGAGAGAGAAACATTGATCAACTCTCTCCTGCACACCTCCTACTGGGGATGTGCCCGCCACCTAGGTACATGCCTTTGACCGGAATTGAACCTGGGACCTTTTAGTCTACAGGCCGAAACTCTATCCACTGAGCCAAACCAGTTAAGGCTGTTGAATTGTTTTAATCAGAAATTTTTCAAATTCCTTGTCATACCTATAAGCAGCAAAGCTAAAAGAACTTGAATCTTCTAAAAATATATTATTTCCCCAACTTGCATGGATTTGCACTAGAGGCACCAAACAAGTAGTTCCAATTAGACTCTAATCTATTGGAGGGGAATCCAATCAATATAACCTCTTCTACTCCACTCAGGGAATTGACTGTCAGCACTGAATTCTTTCCCTCCCCATTTCACCTCAAGGTTCTCTCTTTTCCCCCTCTCCCCCCAAAATGTGGGGGGCTGTTTCTCTGTTTTCCAAGACCCGCGGGGAAAATGACAGGTTCCTGAGTGGAGGAGCTGGGGATTAATTAAAGGAAAAAAAGAAACCAAGACACAGAAATAGATTCAAGCTGGGACCCAGGTGGGGGGCTATCACTCTGATGGAGATACAGTCAACGCCTACCACAGACAACACAGCCAACACAGATAAGAAATCAGTACTGATAACATTTTGGGGAAACATGTTCCCAGGGCATGGCTCTGCCTACGCCTTTTCAGCTGATGATAATTAAAGGTTATCCATGTGCATTCCCATGGGGCCCTCTACAAAAAGGTCAGGGATCCCTGGAATAATGTGCTGTAACCAGACTGACATTTCAGCCTTGGAACCAGTGCATATCGAATCTCTCCAGGGTGCAGGTGAGAACCAGAATAGCCTTCTCAATCACACAGTTGAATCTTGTAGAAGCTTTTATTTAAACAATCAAAAAACTGCAGTAAATAGAACCTATACTGATTGATTGACATTAGACATGCACCTCTACATGAAACTGCTGTTAGTTTTTGACAGGCCTAAATCTTTACAACTTATTTAGGCCCATCTTTGAATTTCTTTGACCCTGATATACAGGATAAGTTAAATTCTTCCTCATGGCACTTTAGTAAAGAGAATTATGTTCACTGGCTAGATTCCTTTATAAGTAAAGGCCTCTAGATTCTCAGGCTGCCTGTACTACCTTACTGTACTACCTTACTTTATATAGATACTTAAGTAAATCACAGTATCAGGAAGGGAGATAATTTAGAAAGCTGAACTGTATTATGTGAACATTCTATAGATTTTTTTTCCTAGCACTGATGGTCAAAACACTAGTTAAGTACCAAATAACTCTTCCCCCATTGCCACCTTTTCTCAGACACCAAGATGTGTATCAATGTCCGTAGGCATTGGAAATGAATCCACAAAAAACAGATTTTACCCATGTGGTCCCACTATCAAATTACAAAAAGCAGTTCCACTATCCAAATTATAGGAAGTAGTTAATGGGACATTCAGAAAAACAGTCCCACACACAGTAATATGCATCTAAGGTTTTCCATTCATCTGCCAATTGTTTTCACAAGATTAACATTAAAAAAGCATAACCAAATACACAAACGACCCTCAAGCCCCAAACACACAAAAATATTGGTCTTTGTTCATTCTCAGATGACCAGATACTTGCAGAGTGCCACAAGGTGGGAGCCAATCCCCCCGTAGCCTTTTCTTCAACTATTCTTGAACTACCTTCCTTTTCCAAAAAGGTAATGTGGAAATCAGTCAGAAAGGCTTTCTGAGAAGACTGGCTTGGATTTCTGGGTCTGTTCCAGACGATTCAAGATGAATTGGCTTGTATCAATGAAGCGTTCAACGCAGTTCACAAAACAGGCCTCAGCCCGACTGTCCAACTTTGGCCCAGGCTTGTCCATGCACTTCTCCTGGTCAGGAGGACAAGATAAGAATCACAAAGGGAACTTGGAAAAAAAGGAAAGGGGGTTAACTTTCTGTTGTTTAAAGGAAACTTGTCACCTAAAACAGTATCTAATGTGTTAATAATAGTTCACATTTGGCAGCAGCTTACTTTGTGGTGAGAAATTTTCTACAGCCTTACATCAAATTCTTATAACCCTGCAGAATAATGTACTATTATTAATCCCTCATTTTATAAAGAGGGGAACTGTGGCACAGAGATACTTTGCCTAATGTCATAGTACCATAAAAATGTAGAGCTGAGATATTACAAATCAAGAAAAATGGCAAAATATAAGTTAATCCTTCACTGAATTTGGTTACAGCTCCACAATGCCAACTGTATTAAATACTTTAAATTTACTGTAGAATAAAATGGTAAAAGGATAAATCATTGCAGCAAGACACCATAAAAAAAATCTACCAAAGGGGAAAAAAAGATCTATGACCTGAAATTCTGTAACCTTGTCTACTTAAGCCAGAGGTTCTTGAATCCAATATGAATGGGAAATTGCATTAATTTTCCTAACGCTTACAGATTCTTAGAGGAGTACTTACCCAACACTGGACCAAATATAATGAATCACTTTTTTTTTTTTTTTTAAGAATCAAAGTACTGCTCCAAGGCAGACAGGAATTAAGCAAGCATTTGTTAAGGGCCAAAGTCCAGCGATATCACAAGTTTATGGGAAAAGGACTACGAAAACCGTTGACTGTATATAGTTCAAGTTAAGCAGTTCAAATGGATTTTGGTCATTATTCTATGCTCTGTACATAAGCCTCAAAACTTCTGCTTTCAAAAAAAATACCCTTGGACTCTGAAGTCTATAGATTTTGTATGTCACGGCTGGTAAGTTATGCTGTTGTTGGCAGCCAAAGAACACTTTGATCCCTAGGCGCGAATGCTTTCACCCACACAGGGCATATTCAATTCCTCAACCTTCAGACCCAAAACGGCTTGATATTACACAACAATGCAAGGAAAGAGGAAAATGTGGAGAGATTACACCACTTTTATAGTTAGTGGGCTAGAGTCATTCATTTCTCAAAGAGGACGGTTAGAGAAACTGGGTAATCAAGGTACACCCTGAAGAATCCAGGAACAGGACACGAGGTTCCAAAAATAAGACCCCAGTCAGCCTTGCTGGCCTAACGTGCTGGTTGGGACGGCGGCATAAGTCTTCTATGATCCCCGGTTCTTTGCACCAACAAAACCTAGGTCCGGAGTGCCAATCCCCTCATAAGTGGAGTCACTGTCTCCCACCCGGCTCGGCCCGTGTAATTTAAAGAAACCAAGGGGTGCTGTCGAGTGCTCCCCCTCCCCGAATTCCGGACATCGTGGCGAGTCCCACGGGGAAGGACAAGGGGAAAGTAGGTAAGGCGGCCAGGTCCCAGCCCCAGACTCCTCACCCAACAAAGTTCCGTCATCTGGTGCACCAGCTGCTGGAAGCGCTGCTTTTGAGTCTCCACCTCGATGAAATGCTGCAACTGCGGGTCCACGGAGCCCAAACCCGCCGCGGAGGAATTCGAAGAGGAATCCATCCCAGACCGGCCACGCGCGCCGACACGAACTCCGCACCACCTCGCCGACCTTCACGTGTCTCCGCGACGGAACCGGAACCACAACCCGCTGCCTAGTGTACAGCCTTCCCCCCGGTGAGCGCACTGCGCCTGCGCGAGTTCTCCTGGCGGGCCCGCCCCCTACAGGGCGTTCCTCCCAGCAACCCCTGCGCCCCGCTCTAGTTGGCTCCCCCCACCCCCTTGCACGCGCCGCCTGCGCGCTGCTCTCCAGACCGCTAGGCCCGCCCTAAGCGCGAACTCCTCCCCGGTCTGCGTCCTCCGCCCTCTCCGGCCGCTCCTCCCAGCGACCCGCGCGCGCCACGCCCCTCGCCCCTCCCGCTCCCGGTCGCCTTTGCGCCCTCCTTCGGCCCCGCCTGCCGACAGAGGTCCCACGTCTTGTAACCCGGCGCCAAGGCGCTGAGCGGACTTTATTCCGAAGAGAAAAAAAAAAAAAGTAAACAGGAAGTTACTGCAGACCTCCAGGCCCGTTTCAGGCCTTACTACCCCGCCTGCTTCCAAATTGGCCCCGGCTTTTCCAACTGCCTTGTTAGTGCCCGGCAGGGATTACTCGGCCCAACTCTTACTAATAGACATCCTGGGTCCCCGGCTCTAATTCTTTGATGGTTTCCTCCTCCAGACTTAGGGAAAAAAGATTCCAGGAGAATACGTCTCTAATTGTAAGCTTTATCCCGATAACATTACATACCTATTGTGTTCAAGACGCTGTAATTTTTAGCTTGTTAGTTTGATTCAGAGGAAGAATTTTCCAACACCCAGAGGGGTTAAATGCCTAGGATCCTGTCGAATTCTCAAGGTAGGACTATGACAAACCAATGCTGCACAATAGTTTTCTGCGACACTGAGATAGGGTGTTTCAAGAAAGCTGTATGACTAACCAGTTTGGCGCAGTGGATAGAGTGTGGAGTCAAGGGACCCAGGTTCGATTCTGGTCAAGGGCATGTATAAATAAAGTGCATTTTTAAAAAAATGGAACCTTCATTGCTTTCCAGTAATTTTATTATATGAAAACACCCTCCCCTCCCATTTTTATGACACCATTTTATTCTTGCCAAATTCGGCCTCCCTCCCAGCAAGCTCTAATGCATACCCAAAAGAGTTGTTGGAACCCTCATGAGGCTATTTACACCCTTCCCTCCCCAAAACTTTCCATCCCAAATTAAGTCTGTCTTAATACTCTTGGGAAATTTCTTCCCTGGGAGACAGTACCAGGCACCATAATTCCTTGGCCTTTGCTCAGAAGGTACTGTCCCAGGGAATCAAAGAAGAGAGGCAGCCCTAGATGTAGAGGAGGGGCCTTTGTGTATTCAGCCAGAGCACAAAGGCTCCAGGGCCTGTAGCTTTGGTTTGCCTCAAGAAAGTGAAATTGGAGTTTGTGGAGGAGAGTAGAACTAGGACGCTTATTGGTGAGCTCAGGATTCTTCATCCATGACATCTAGAATGTTGCTCAGAAGAACTTTGAAAGTGGGACGTTCATCTGCTTTCTAAAACCAAATAAAAAGTAAAGTATTATAGTGGGTTAAAGTCCAGAATTCAAGGGAAATGCAATGAGTGTGCAGCAAATGTTTATTAAGTATATACTATCTGCCTAGAAATATACCCTGTTGTGACACACACATAAAGGAAAAAAATAATAGCACTCTATAAAATACTTGTGCATTTTCCATCTTTAGTAACTTGGTTATTAATGTGATGAGGTCAATTTGCAAATCAAACGAACATATCGATTAAAACAGGGCAAATTCATTACATAATTATACACCAGTGCATTCTTATTTTGTATACTCAACTGAAAAAATTGTTACCAAACAAATTTAAGTGGTTGACAGAACTAAAATCCTATAAGCTTCGGTAATTTTTAGTTTGGTTTCAAACACTACTTTTATCATCTCGTAAGTCAAAAGTAACAAGGAATTTTAACATTTCAAAACCCTGGACTGCATCACTGGGCAGGGATCCTGAGCACCTGGGACCTACTCTCTTGTCTCTAGACCGTTGTCATGGTCCACAAGCCCCTGAGGTATTTAGAGATTCCGGGCATAGTCATACCACAAAGGTCTCAATTCATCAAAACCAAAATGCCATCAATTTCTTGTTCCTCTGAATCAGTGGTTCCCCAACATAGCTGAGTATCAGAATTTCCTGGGAAGTTTAAAAAGATAACTCTGGTTTCCACTCCAGATATACCTCATCAGAATTTCTGGAGATAAGGCCCAGTCATCTGTACTTTTAAGAGTTCCCCAGGGATTCTGATGTGCATCCAGTTTGGAGACTACCACTTTAAACAGGCTGTAGGGAAAGTGTCTCTCTGAAACATTTCACTAACAGAGTGAGAGCATCCTAGTTGCGAGGGAGCATAGCCAGTCACCCTTAATCCTGCCTGGCACAGGAGACAGAAGGGAAATGGCTTCAAGAGGTTCTCCGTACTTTCTTTATGACCCAAGTCATCTGTTGAAGGAAAAGTTGCCATGCTCTGACCCGACCCCCAATTTTTACCCCACTGAGAGGGCTCTAGCTCCACATATGTGCTTGTTGGACATTGTCTATCTTTCTCTGTTTCTAGTAGGGCAGAACTAAGAGGTTTAGGTTGCCAAATTAAGGTTGCCAAGGATCTACTGAAAAATAGAGAAGACACCTCTAGAAGAACCAAAGGTTCGAGCAGCAAAGCATTTTAGTAATAATAGGACAAAATACCTCATGCCCCATAATGTACCATATTTTTTTCAGAAGCTGTTTTAGTTCCCTTTGAGGTCATAGGGTCTTTATTTTTAAAATATCACTTAGGACCACAGCCAGAAAAGGTTGGCAGTAAAGTAGAAGAAAGGACCAATGACTCCCAAGGGAATAAGCACAGATTTTAATGACTTTAAAATGCCCATACAGTTATCTGAGTGCCTTTGGCTTCCTGTGTCTACTAGGTGGCATGGCCTCACACCCTCTCCCTAAAGCTGCGTTGGTATTGGAGTCTGCAAATAATATTCTAGTGAGGGTTGGAGTGGCCTGGGAAAGCCTCTGGCTATCAAAGGATGAGTGTGCTGGCTGGGATCCTAGAATGCAGCCAGGGAGAATAGGGACTGAGTGCCTGGCTGGCTAAATGAGAAAGTAGGTAGGTTCAGAGAAATAATTTAAGAAGTCCCAATAAAATACTTACCTCATGCCAACAACTGTACATGATGGTATACACCCTTTCTGAAGCTAGATGAGGCCTGTAGAGACGTAGGCCTTGGGCAATATGTTCAGCAGTTTCACTGTTAGTAAATCTCTCATATGGCATCTTCCCCAGAGAGTAAATTTCCCACATCAAAACCCCTAGAAGATGGGGGGGGAAAGTGTAGTAAGTAATTTTTCAATCTTTTCAGGTAGCTGGGATCCTGCTCTCCCTAGATTAACCTCAAAGATTAGATTCAGTTGATCTGCCCCTCTGTGATTATTGTGTTTTGTCCAAACTTCTACTATAGTACTGACTACATTGGAGACTAATTGGAGTTGCAGTGGACCATTAAGTCCTTCGGGAGAGAGACAGCATCCTTTTTGTCTTTGTGGTTATAGGGTCTGGCACAGTCCCTAGTACATAATCAGTATTCAGAAGCTGTCAAATACTGAATGAATTGTTTGTTCCCCTCAATATTTGGTAAGTTTTAAGTAGGCAGTGTCTAGTTCACTGGTTTTATCCCCAGAAATGTTGTGATGCCAGACATAGTAAGCTCCCTAGAATTAGGTGAACAAAAGTAAGAACAGATAATCTCTGTGCAGTTTGCAAAGTCTCAGTTTACCCATTGCATTTATAATCTTAATCACTCACCAAAAGCCCAAATGTCAGATTTGCTGCTGAACTTGCTGTACATAAGTACTTCTGGTGGAGACCACCGGACTGGGAATTTGGAGCCTACTGAGCTTGTGTATTCGTCATCCAGAACATACCTGCAAAGAATTCAGGACTTGTTAATGTTAGGATTTGGAGAGCTTGGTATTTATGTTTTCTTAGCATAATAACAAGAGTTGCACACATACATGCCCACAGGCCATCCAGTGTCTTCTAAAAATGTTATTTTTAACATATTCCTGTTCTCATATCCAATTTAACTTTCCTGATTGACAATACGAATAGTTACAGTAAGGATGAAATGAAATAAGATCTAATAGGTACTCCCGTTCTCTTCTCTATCTCTTTCCTTTCTATTTTCTTCTCCTTCCCTTCCATCTATTCTGCAGTTGCCAGTGGGACTTAGACTGATTAGGAAAGGAGAGCCCTGGCCAGTTTTCTTCAGTGGTTAGAGAGCCCATGGACAGAAGGGTCCCGGGTTCAATTGCAGTTGAGGGCCTGTTGGTTGCAGGCTCAATGCCCAGCCGCCAGTCAGGGCACATGCTGGAGGCAACCAATCAATATGTCTTTCTCACATCGATGTTTCTGTCTCTCCCCCTCACTTCCTATTCTCTCTAAAAATATCAATGGGAAAATATTATCGGGTGAGGATTAACAAGAGAGAGAGAGAGAGAGAGAGAGAGAGAGAGAGAGAGGGAGGGAGGGAGGGAGGGAGGGAGGGAGGGAGGGAGGGAGGGAGGGAGGGAGGAAGGAAGGAAGGAAGGAAGGAAGGGAGGGAGGGAGGGAGGGAGGGAGGGAGGGAGGGAGGGAGGAAGGGAAGAGAGATGGAGTAGAGTCAACAGGATTAACAGATCAAAATAAGGTATTGGAAATTTTTAATTAAAAAAAGAGGGAGGGAGCCTGGCCGGCATGGCTCAATGGTTTGATTCCCTGTCAGAGCATATGCTCGGGTTTTGGGCTTGATCTTGGGGGTGGGGGGTGGGGGGCATGTGGGGCATGCACTGATCAATGATTCTTTCTCATCATTGATGTTTCTATCTCTCCCTTCCTTTCTGAAATCAATAAAGATTTTTAAAAGGGAAGGAAATAAGAGAAGAAAAGGATATATAACAATAAAACAAAGAATGAAAGAAGTGATAAATCATTCAGAGAAAGAAAAGGTGTAGAAAGATGTTGGGAAAGACTAGAATAAGAAAAAAAGAAAGGGAAAAGATTGAAAACTATGATGTCTCCTCGTATTTGTACTCTGCTATTTTACTTTTAGGGAGAAAAATGAAAGAGGCACCCCTCACCTGGACAGGCCGAAGTCAGATACTTTAACAACTCCTTGATCATTTACCAAACAGTTTCGAGCCGCCTGTAGTGCAACAGATAGCAGTGAGAATCCATTCCTGGCTAAAGGTTAAAGGCATAAAGCTTCTGCTCACTAGGGGAGTAAAGCAAAGGCAGCCTCATTTCCTTCAACTAGAGAACCTTCCCACCTAACAGGAGTTAGCTGATGCCACTGAGAAACATTTATGCATTTTCACCACATGTAAAGTGACCTGTTTCATAAGTGAAAACTGAGCACATGCAGAACGATTTCATTGACATTGGCAGTTCCACAACATCCCTTCCTGCACTGAAATGCTGTGAGAATTAAGGGAGAACAGAAGGCAAGTGCTTTGTTTTCTGCTTTTCTGCCAGTGGGACTAGGGCCCTTTGAGTCTTGAGCTGGCTGAAATTGATGGAGGCACAAACTCATGCCTTCAGAGGCCATGCAGGCAAACTGATAGAGTGAAGTGGGTGGATGAAGACTGCAGGGAAGTGGAGAGCATGCGGCTTGTCTAAAGGAGGCAGCTGCTCCTCAGCTCCAGCATGGCCTGTGAGATTGTGGACCTGATGTTACAAGATGGTCTAGACTTTCCAGAGAAGCTGGAAATTTAGTTTTTTTTAAAAAAAATATATATGAAATGTTTATTTTTAAGTGTTTGCTATATATAATATTTTTTAAATAGCATGCACCCGCAGGCCCCCAGTTTGTGACTCTGATGTAAGGAAATGATGGCTCTGTGTCAGGAGCAGCCCCTTTGGGAAGCGGGGTTGCTCTTCTGCCCCTGAAGGAGCCCACCATTTCCTTGGCATGGTACAGGGCTGGCAGTAAGAGACTGCTCTATTTCCCACCATGGCAGACCATGGCTCTATTTCCCACCATGGTATTGAGGCTGGAGATCCTTGACAGTCTGACCACTGGGGCAGAGGGTCACCTAACTTTCAGTATTTTCTAGATAAAACTGAATTGATAGCTTCAGCAACCCTCCTCATCCATGTATAATATGTCTTTCTCTTCTACTTCCACCCCCTGAGCCCTTGATCCCAGGCTAATCCTTCTGAGGTCCCACCAGGTCTCTGTGAAGGAATTGCTTTGACTCCAGGTATTCCATGGCTTCGCAGACATCCTTGCACATCTCCAGCAGCTGCTGATTCTGGAACTGGTGGCGCATCTCCCTCAGGTAGTTCAGGAGGCAGCCATTGGCCATGTACTCAGTGATGATAAAGATGGGGCGCTGCTTGGTACAGACACCGTACAACTGCACCAGCTTCTCATGGGAAAGATTCCTACAGGAGAGGCAATGAACCAGTCTTCCCCTTCTGGCTCTGCATACCAGTCAGAAAAGGGCTGGAGTAGAAAGGGGTTGGCCTGGGATTAGAGTGTCAGATAAGGGACCACAATAGCAAGTTGACTCCTCCTTCCCACCCTTAATCCCAACAGTACCCAATATGTGAGAATAGCAGGGACTTGGGGCTCATCAATAGAACAAGAAACAAGTCAAGGAATAAATGAACACTAATGCTAAATCAAAATCAGTCTTCCTCTTGAAAGTTTTCTATTCCATAACATTCAAAATGATACTTAGATGGTAAGCATCCATAATCAACACTAATTTCAATATCTAAGGCAGATAAATGATTACCTTGTAAGTTAGCACTCCTACCAATCAAAGGTTGATCTCAGTCCCTGGTCCAAATTTCTCTCACTAAAGTCACCTTAAACCACGATGGATTGTCCTGGTAATTCCTAGACTCCAGCAACTAGATTGAGAATTGAGTTTGGGCTGTAACTCACATCATGACTTTGGCTTCTTCAATGAACTCATCCTCAGACATGGAGCCTTCTTTGATCATCTTGATGGCCACATCATACTGGCCTCTCCATTTCCCGTACTTCACTACCCCAAATTGTCCAGTCCCCAGCTCCTTCAAGAAGGTCAGGTCCTTTGGATCAATTTCCCATGATCCTATAACAACAAAGCCATAGTGTGAGTCTTTGGGAGTCATGTACATATAATTCCTACAATTCTTAATTATATAGCTAAGAATTCCTACTGGAAAAATAGAAATAGGCAATCAGTAAAAGGGAAATTCTCAGAGGTATTAATCCACCTTTGCTCAGGTAAATCTCAGGGACAAGATATTACTCATTGGAGGAATCTTGGAATTTTAGGTGCAAGTCAGCTATAAGGGAAGAAGATAGACTAGACATCTTAAAACCCTTTATGTTTGTGATTGTTTGTTTTTTTTTTACCATAATTTTAAAAAATAATCACTTCATTAATTTATATTTTGCAGTCCCAGTAAGAGCCACCAGGGGGGATCATTAAATAACTTGTTTAGCTCTGTCTTAGCCTTCCTTGAGGCAGCTGGTACAGAACAGCGTGTTCCAAGAACACTAATGAGGCAAGGTCTTTTTTCATTGTTGTTATTAATCCTCACCAGAGGATATTTTTTCTGCTGCTTTTCAGAGAGAGAGTTGAAGGGAGGGTGGAAGGGGGAGAGGGAGAGAGAGAGAAAAACATTTATGTGAGAGAGACACATTGACTGGTTGCCTCCTGTATGCGTCCCTACCAGGGCCAAGGATCAAACCTGAAACCCAGGTACATGCCCTTGACCGGAATCAAACTCAAGACCCTTTGGTGTGTGGGCCAACACTCTAACCATTGAGACACATTGGTCAGGGCAAGGCAAAGTTTAATTGGGTCAGCCAAAGGTAATCCTTGCAACTGGCTAGTCCACCCTACCCTAGAAAAATAAACAGTTACCGTAGCCCAGGCCTGCAGTAGAAGGTGCATTCTTGTTTTGTTGAGACACTGGATATTTGAGCCTAGATATGAGTCCTGAAACATACAGAGGGCATCATATTATTGGTGCAGTGTAGGGGTGAGATACTTGACACACCTTCACTTAAAACCTCACAATTATGATGTTCATCTTTCTAGTACATTTTGAATCCCAGAAGATCTTCATGACCCAACATTTTCTGGAAGTTACTCCTCTCATAAAAAAAGTTTTAGCTACAAAAAATAGAAGATACTAATTAAAATTCACTAATTGTACTTACAAGCCATTTTCTGATGCTTCCTAACTTTATATTCTTTGAGGGAAAGGACGTTTATTAATAAATTTTCTGCGTTTTTTCTCTAGTACCAAGAAAATTGCTGAGTACCCAGTAGTAACTCAATGAATACTTGCTGATTGATTAATCACCAGACTCTTCTATGTCTTTCCTTAGCACTGAGCATAAATCACCAAATAAGAAGCTAGTCCCTATGGGTATAAGGTCTGTCTTTGACTACCTCTTTAGTTGACCTCCACCGAGCATCATAGGGGTTGACTTTCACAGCTAATTGCATTGATTGCTCTGTGAGGCTTATTCATTCTCTCATCACCTTGTTCTGAATTGCTTCTTCTGGGGCTTGGCACACCTTTCTTTGGTGCTCCTGGTACTCACCTGCAGAGTTATGCTGATGGTAGTTAATGAGCTCAGGGATAGTGCTGAAAAGGTGCTTCTCAGCCAGGTAATATTGGCTCTGAGGTGTGGAACACACAACATAATGGCGTATCACCCCTTGAGGGTCCCTGAAGAAGTAGATTCTAAGTCAGCAACTTTGGAACAAGGGTCATGAAGGACCCAAGAAGTGAAGTGAGATGAGTTTTGAGTTTAAGGGACAGAAGAAATACGAGGGACACATCATTAAGGAGCTGTTGGGTGGCTACCCCTGTCTGTCCCCAGGGCCTTGGAAGAGTAGTACTCACCCTGTAGATTTAGCAAATACAGACACAGTATATTTTCCAGCTTTGCTGGAGTCTCTGACAATGAAACCTCCTTCCTTCCCCTGAAACAACAACAACAAAAAATAAGCTTACTCTAAGGAGGAAGTGGTGCTCACACCTTCATCCCATTTGCCCAAACCTGGGAGAAAATAGAACAATCCCTGTTTTCAATGCCAAGTTCCATAATTCACCTGTAGCCTCGTTGCTTCTGATACTGAAAAGTGTAATTGGGACCTGATAAAAATGATGGTCTTGACACTGCCTTCTCTGGCAGGCAGCAGCAAGCCCTCAATTCAGGATCCTCACATTTTGTGCAAGGAGAATGCCATTTACTTGTGGTCACACACTTACCTCTTGCTTTAGCAGTTCTTCAGCTTGACTCCGAGTCATGTGTTTGGAATACCACCTGTAAAGGGACAGTGCTTGAGTGGCTCCTAGACCATGATGTAATTGATTCCGAGATCAGAGTGTCCATCCTAGTGATTCAGTCAATCCATTCAACCCTTATTTACTGAGTGCCTATCATATGCAAAGTACAACTACATAACTTTCCCAAAACCCAACTGGTACTGAAAATTCATGGAAATGGAGAGTAGAGGGCAAAGGCAGGTGACAGAGGGTTGCAGGGAAGGAATCAGGGACAGGACACTCAAGGACAATCCATTTCTATGATTAGGGAGAAAGGATAATGGCAGAAGTTTGACATTTTCACCCTTTCAAATGTATCCTGTCAGACTGTCAACTCTTTCTTAGAGTGTGGTTCTTCTGGATTTTGAGGGTGTGGATCTCCCCACCTCTCATAAGCAGATAGTATTTGTGGTGAGGGTAAGACATATGCACTAACTTGGGGTGGTGGCATCATTTGACCTAGTTAGCAGTGACTTTAATAAGTATCTTGAAATCAAAACTTTGTTGAAACTACAAAAACGTATATACTATATTCTATTCCTCCTGGAAGATTGCGCGCTGGAATCATAAGCATACTCACTCATACATTTCTATGGAGTCTTCTGCTTCAGTGACGTAATTACTAGGGATGTAGCCTTCCTGCCTGTAGAGGAGACATGGTGGTAGATAATCCAGCATTCCTGTTCCCCAGGAAAGAAACAGATTCATAGGCCCAAACCCTGAGACCAATCTCAAATGGAGGTATATAAACCATGTCCCTCCCTCAAAGAGGATCATGTAACAGATAGATGCATGGCTTGGCTAGTGAAATGTGTGGCTTCTGCACATGTGGCATCGGTTATTTGTGCACTACAATATGTGGGCCAGAACCTATAGGCTCAGAGAGGTGGCCACATGTAGAGCTGCACTCTGGGAAGCACTTGCAGGGGCAGCCTATTCACCTTGGTGTGGGACGAACAATTTCTGATTGGGATACTGAGTAGGAAATGATGTTGCACGTGTGTGAAGTGGGTTGGTGTGAAGTCACCCATTTTTATTTTTATTTTCTTTGTTTTGGACTCACCCATTTTTATCTCGTGCTCGCCACCAGGGTAAGTTGCTTTCTTCCAGGATAAAATATTCATCACCCTTCCGTAGCTGTAGGTCATTTGCATTCATTGGCATGTAGTCATAAAGGGCCACAACCTTTTTCAGTTCACTTGTGGAAACTGGTGCTGCTGTTGGCTCAGGGGGCAGTGGCTTTTTCAAGATCTGTGTAGGTAGGAAGAAAAAGTAGGGTGGTTTGGCAAGACATCAAGTACTCTCTTCTCTCCCAACTCTCTGGTTTACTAGAGACACTATTCTAATCCAAATCAGGCATAGTAAGATGGTATATTCAGCACTCATTTTTAAGCACTTATGCAGAGGTTCTCAGCTTGGAATGCAAATCAGAATCATGCAGGGAACATTTATTTAACAATCCTGATACCTAGACAGTTTCCCAGACCAATTACATCAAAATCTTTGGGGATAGGACCCTGATGTAAGTATTTTTAAAGCTTCCAGACAAAAACCATGAGCACACAATCAGGAAACCTATTTGGTACATGGGGTACATGGATCTACTAAGTGGCTTTGAGTCTCAGTTTCCTTGTTTGTAAAATGAGCATAATTTCTGCCCTGCTTTATTGTACTTCACAGATGTTGCAGTTTTTGTTTTATTTTGTTTGTTTGTTTGTTTGTTTTAGAAATTGAAGACACTCCACCAGCAAAAGATTATGGTTTGATTTATTTCAGTGATCTGGAACCAAACCCACAATATCTCTAAACTATGCCTGTATTTGAGGAAGAGCTTTCTAGACTTCAAAAGTAACCAAATAAGCAAGTTTGAAGTAATATATTAGTGATAGGATGAAAGTATTGTGTGCTTACTATTAAATTATTTTATATTTATGTTTGAAAATATTTTTATTTTAAAAAATCAGGATCTGTTTTGTTTTAAACAGGTGATTGGATTAAATGGTTGCCAAGAGCTTCCAAATAGCCTTCTATGTTTCCACTGAAGGGGAAGTCCTAATTAGAAGGACAAATTCTCTGTCTTAAAAAGAATATCAATTAATAGTACCAAGTCCCAGAAAAATTCTAAGACTCTGGTGTGTTTTCTGTGGTAATTGTAAATTTCTATTTGAGCAATAACAGCACCCAATTTTCCTGTATACCTGATCTTCCTCAGGCGTGGGAGGAAGAGGCTTTTTTGTCTTCCGGTGAGAACTCCCAGGTTTTAAGCCTGCAAAATAAGATACCAGTGATGATAAAGAATGCATCTTAGGAAATGGCTTGGAGACTGGTTTGGTCAAGGACTTTGCCCTCTTTCCTCTGCAGTGCCTTTAGGCAAGTTAGAAAAAGTCTGGATGGATACAGTCCCGTGGCAGGTGGCACAGCTTGGAGAACAGAGCACTAGCTGGATTTCAACACCCACCCTCTCCCAGGTCCCTTTGTGCAATGGCCAAAATGTACAAACCTGGGTTTGATAGACCCTTGAGAGAGTGCGTGATAGATAGAGTCAAAGGAGGGAGAAATGATATTGATCAGGTATCTTACTTCCATTCCTGTTTTCCAAAATTTGGCAGCCCATAGCATTTTTGGCTGTCTGAGAGCAGCAGAGATACTGCCCGTCAATCCAGAAGCAAGGGTGGTATTTCTGTACCAGATCGCTGTTATACCGGATTACTGTAACAGGAGAGAAGAGAGAGAAAGATCACATCTGACATGCAGGAGAATCAATTATTTGTATGTTTTCCTCTTCAACTAAGCTTAGTGGTGAGCTTCAAACAATTGCCCTTCATCAGCCACCCTGGAGAGAAGCAGACAGCAAGTACAGTTCTCTTCAATGGTCAGTCATGATAACTGCCTCCTGACCAACATGATAAGACTATCTGATGTCTCCAGAGCCAAGAACAAAAATATGTTATCTGTGTTCTCCCATGTGGCCATTATAATCTTGTAAGGCAGCTGTTGATTATGATTTTTTTTTCTAGATAAGGGACACAATTTGTCCAAGCCAAACTCTCACTTCAGCTTTCAATACACCAATGTCCCAGCTCCCTGAGTTGATATATCTCTAAATATATATGTAGAGACATTTGCCTCAGTGAGAATTTCTGCACCAGGTTTTCTGTGTTCATATTCTAAACAATAGAGTGAGCTTAGGGGAAAATTAAGGTGATTCTGCCTCTAGATTCTTTCTAGAATAAACCTGGTTTTAATCTTCTAGGGCCACCAATGTGGGTTGAGCTCATTGCAGGAGATAAACACTAGAGCTCTATTTCCGTTCCAGGGTTGTGAGGCTCAGAAGATCTCCCCAAAGCTAAAGCGCTTTGCAAAGAATAGAGTACTTTGCAGATAGGAGGAATTGGTATTATGGTTTTTAATACTGTGGCATCTCAAGAACCTTCACATGGAGTCAGTTAGGTAAGTTTACCTGGGATCATGTTAGATAACAGAGAAGCAAAGACAACTGAAATAATTGACACTAGCTTGATATTGGGGCAAAGATCTAGGCTGGTCTAGACCTAGGCTAGTCTAAGCATCTAAGCATTTGAGGACATTTCAGCTTTAACTGCTAAGAAGAAACCCTGTGTAACTTTTTTTTTTTTTTTTTTTTTTAGATAACAAGCCCAGCCAGTGTTGTTCAATGATTGAATGTCGACCTATGAACTAGGAGGTCACAGTTTGATACCCAGTCAGGGCACATGCCCAGAATGTGGGCTTGATCCCCAGTAGGGGGCATGTAGGAGGCAGCCGATCAATGATTCTCCCTCATCATTGATGCTTCTACCTCTCCCTCTCTGAAATAAATAAAAAAATATATATTTAAAAACAAAACAAAACAAAACCTTTTTCTATAGAGACCAACTTCAGTCCTTAAGAGCTTGTTAGTCATACTCCACTCACTTAAGGTTTGGTGGGGGCAGGAGGGTATGGAAACTTCTGATGGCCAGGTATAAAAGAACAAAAGTGCTGTCTTTTTTTAAAGTGCTACCTTGATGTTTTTCTTAGCATGGATTTGAAAATTTGTAACCATTTTACCATGCCCACCTTCACCCCTTTCTTTCCCTCAAAAAATTCATAAAAATATTTTTAAAAATCACTAACATGAGAAGGGGACTTCATCAGAATCCTGGCTGCCTCTACTGTGAAGAGGCATGAGGGATCCTTCTCAGGTGCTGGGTCTAAGTGTGATTAAGTGGTTGTAGACAAATGTGGTTAGCACCTTAGATCTTTGTACTTTACTTTATGATATGTAAGTTATACCCCAATTTAAAAAATAGAGACTCGGGTATCTCTTATCCAGCTGCTATGTTTGTTTTTTGCTTCAATGGCACTTAGCCTTGGGCTTTCTTCTTCCACTTCCTTGAACATGACAACAGACATTTCTATGTTATAGCACCACAGATATTTGGCTATATTCACTCTAGAATCTGTTTACTCAAGCTCAATAGAGGCTATCTTACTTGCAATTTCAAAAATAAGACCTCAACAAAATGAATGAAAGAGTGGCATTGGCAAAACTCCAACAACTAGTATGAGGAAGAATACTTCATTCATTCCTGAAACAGAATTTTAGACATTGAAACAGAATTTTAGTCTTGATAACTATGGATATGAGACACTAGTCCATCAAGTACTAGAAAACTGTGCTTCCCAGACAGGGCTGGCCCTATGAATTGGTGAAGTAAGCAGTTTCTCCTAGCCTTCCACTTGAACACTGTCTTAGCTCAGACTGTCATAACAAAATGCCTTGGCCTGGGTGGCTTAAACAACACACATTTACTTCTCATAGTTCTGGAAGCTAGGGAGTCCAAGATCAAGGTGTCTCTGATTTGGTGCCTGGTGAGAATTCTTTACCTGGCTTGCAGTCTGGCCACTTTCTCACTGTGTCCTCACATAGCAGAGATAAAAAGAGAATCTCTCTCTTGAGTCTTTTCTTATAAGGGCACTAATTCCATCATGAGGTCTCCACTCTCATGACCTAATTCCCTTCCAAAGGCCCTCTCCTAATACCATTACATTGGGAGACTTCATAATATAAATTTTGTGGGGACACAAATATTCAATCCATAACAGACCCTGTATGGCCCCTATTGGGCATCAAGCCTGCAACCCTGGCATATTCCCTGACCAGGAATCAACCTAGCAACCTTTTGGTGCATGGGACAATGCCCAACCAACTGAGCAACACTGGCCAGGGCGTGTTAGTGATTTTCAATTGGTGCATTTTACTCCAAAGTGAGATAACATTAACTAGGTGGGATTTTATGGCTCCTAAACTATCTCACTATTGATATTACTTGCACCTCAGTCTGTCCTGGGGTTGTTAGAATTTGCATCTGAATCTTCCAGCAACTATGATCTTTATTGCAAGATACCTGCTTTTTGACTCATTTTGTCAGTCCAAGCAGGTTCAACAGGACATACACCCAGGTCTAGAACAACTGGATAAAAAATGCCTTCGGTAAAATATAAGGGAAAAGAAGGTAAAATTGCACATACTCATACTAATGACACAACTGAAGTGGTTGTGTTTTGTTTGTTTATTTGTTTTGGCTTGTAAATAGTTGTGTGAACATGATAGAGTATACTTACACAAACATAGATGATATAGCCCACTACACACCTAGCCTTATGGTATAGCTTATTGATCCTAGGCTACATGCCTGTATAGCATAGTACTGTACAAAACTACACGAGATTAAATCAAGCACAAGATAAAATGATGCAATCAAGAGCCATGGTAAATACAATATGTATAAAGTTGCTGCTGGTGTAAAATGGCATACTGTTTCACAGCAAACTTTTTTTATAAGTAGAAAAACTATGGTCTAAAATAACAATACAGATATAGTATAATAAATATATAAGCAATAACATTGTCATTTATTATATCAAGTCTTAGGTACTGTACATAATCATATTGCTGTACTTTTATATGACTGGTAGCTCAGTAAGCTTATTACACTAGCATCAACACAAATACATGAGTAATGCATTGCACTATGATGTTACTAGGTGATTTGAATTCTTCAACTCCTTTATAATCTTACTAGAGGCCTGGTGCACAAATTTGTGCACAGGTGGAGTCCTGCCAGCCCACCCTGATCAGGGCTCAGGACAGGCTGGCTTGGGGGAAGGGTTGCAGGCAGTTGGCCAGCCATCGTCACCCCTGATCAGGGTGGAGGGCTGATTGGGGGTGGAGCTAGCTGGGGATGGGACTAGCTGGGGGGGAGGGGCCACAGTCAATTGTCCATTTTGATCCGGAGTTCAACTCTTAGTTGAACTCCGGATCAAAATCCCAGTAGAGGAGAAAATTTGCATATTAGCCTTTTATTATATAGGACTAGAGGCCCAATGCACAAAAATTCATGCACTTGGGGGGATCCCTCTGCCTGGCCTGTGCCTTCTTGCAGTCCAGGACCCCTTGAGAGATGTCCATCTGCTGGGTTAGGCTCGCTCCCTAGGGAATCCGGCCTAAGCTGGGAGTCAAACATCCCTCTGGCAGCCCGGGAGCCCTCAGGGGATGCCCAACTGACGGCTTAGGCTCACAGCTGTGAGCCCAGCTTGTAACTGAGCAGAGCTCTCCCTGTGGGAGCACACTGACCACTAGGGGGAAGCTCCTGCATTGAACATATGCCCCCTAGTGATCAGTGCGTGTCATAGCAACCAGTCATTCCAGTCATTCCACCATTAGGGTCAATTTGCATATTACCCTTTTATTATATAGGATAGGATCACTGTCATACTAGTATATGCAGTCTGTTGTTGACCAAAATGATGCAGCACATGACTGCATCTTACACCAACTCCAGGTGCAATTTCTGGGCTAGAGAACCAAGTAGCATGAAACTATATTTTGAGCTTAGTTTCTGGGATGTGGTAAGAATCCAGTCTTCCCATTTAGCCTTGAACTAGTTACTTAACCTCTTAGAGCCTCAGTTCCTTTTCTGTAAATAGACAAATGATACACACTTTATGAGTTTATTGTGAGAATTTAATGAAATTGTACATTTGAAGTACTTAGCCCAGAGCCTAGTAGATTGTAAGTGCTCATTAAACATTAGTTATTGTTGTTGTTGTTGTTTGGCCAAGGTTTCTATAATAATTAAATGAGAAAATAAATATATGGTATTTAGCTCAGTGTCTGGTACATAGCAAGACTTCAACAAATGATCCCTCTCTTCCTTACTCCTCTCCTTTTTCAGCTTGAAAAATTTGGAAATTTTTATTTTAACCAATTGACAGGGGAGTGGAAAAAGCTGGTGTAGCCAGCTACTGAGTATCAGAATCTAAATGTTATTGAGACAAAAGGCTGTCATGCAATAACCCAACCATGCTGTTATCAGTCTGCCATCCTTCCTGTTTCTCTAGGCAGCCTTTCCTGATGTCAACTCAACCAGTTAATCTCTCAGTCACTTGACGTGTGGCTATATATACACACAAATATGTGTTCATGCATCCTGTGCTACAGCATTTACTGTCGAATTTATCTGAGCACACCATATGGTGTATATGAAATGCTAAAACTTTGTTCAAGTTTAGATCTTCATAAAGCTAGAACATACAATAATTCAGTGCTTTCTTGTACAGTGCTTTCAGTGTTTCCCACCTGCTTTCACATATATAGCATCATTTAATCCTTAAGACAAACTTGGAGGTAGGTGTGGCATATATATTAATCCAAATTCAGAAGAAACCAAGCCACAAAGAAGCTTATTAGCCTACTTGTCAGAGGTTACTTTGCTTATTAGTGGTGGAAGAGGGCTTGGAACCAGGTTCTCTACATTGACTTCAAGCACTCTTATAAACATTTTTTTTGAACTAGGTATTGCATACTTAGAATTCAAAATATTGCAATAACCATTGAATGCTGTACCACACCACCCTTATAAACAGTGTAAAAAATGAGACATTTTATAAATAAATGGAGACACCTACAATTATAACATTGCACTAGAGACATAGTGGTGAACTAGGTTGAAATTTTTAGTCTAGTGTGTGATATTTTTTTTCATATGATAAGAAGATTAAACTCAACTTCATCACTAATATTGGAAAAATTCATTTTTTTCTCTTCCTCTTCCTATCTCCTTCTTCCTTCCCTCCTTTCTCTCTCTTCCTCCTTCCCTTCCACCTCTCTTTATTTTTTCTTTCACTTCCCTCCTTCCATGTATCTTTTCCTCTCTCCTTTTTACCTTCAACCCTTTCTTTTATTTCTCTTTTCTGTATTCCTCTCTTCAGTTTTTCTCTCTTTCTCCCTCTCCATCTTCCCTCATTCCTCTTACTTCCTCCCTCCTTTCTTTTCTCTGGAAATTAATTCTCTTTCTTTCCCAAATAATCCTCACCATTTTTGAGCTGATGAATCCAACGCTTCCTTAATTCTTCTGTTGGAGAGAAGACATAGAGAGGGCCTTCATCATATACAACCTGGGACAAGGACACACAGACTTTAGAAGTTAGGATTCAGAATAAAAGGAGAAAGATATTGATATATAATAAATAATCTTAAGTCACAACTTTGTCTATTCATAGTGGAAAACAAAACATGCAGGGTCTTTAGTCAACATCTGGGTCAGGGTCATGTGAGCTATCTGCAGAATTCCTAAGCAATTACTAGTATCCAGGTATGTAGAATTTAGAAGGTCTTAGCTTACTGAATACTAGGTTCTACTGACTTATGTTTCAATTTGTGTGTAAATTTAATTAGTACTATTTCCCTCAGCCCACAGTGGAGATAGGACTTTTGTTTATTCAACAAAGGCTATTTTATAATCCTATTAAACTATGAGCTTGTATAGAGAATAAAAGTAATGATTTATATAACTGAAGTCTTGATTAGTACATATGAATTATTCACTTGGATAATATGGAGCCAAATTTTAACTCATGGCAAATTTTCCCCTCATAGCCCAGTGGCCTCCACTTGCCAAACATGAACACACATCCACTCCAAAATAGTAAAGTATATGTTAAACACTATTATCAAATCAAACAGTCAATATTTTTAACACCTCACAAGTACTAGGCACTGTGCTAGGTATTGAGGAGGTATGTAAAACATATTATATGTTTTACATATTTAATAAACCTCAGATAGTGGGTTCTAAAGTAAATGTAAATTAATTTTGAATTACATGCTGCTTAGCTTTTTCTAGTAGCCCAGATAAACAATGTCATCTTGTTGAAACACAATGGTAGCAAAACTATGTCTAAAACACCTCTCCTTCAAAAGTTTTGTAAACTTTGATATAGTCAAGGACATGAGCAAGATCCTTTTACATTTTTCTTTTTGTTTCTTAGTCTTTCTGTGCTCATCAATCCATGACAGAAAGCCCCCTCCCCTGAGACTTTCCACTTCCTTTTCTGGCTTTCACTGTTGCAGGGGCTTCTATACTCACAAGTGGCCTAGAGAGTTCTCAGGATATAAGCAAAACGAATTGAATTTTTTGTTCTCCTTTACAGCTTACAATGCATCTACCAAACATATGTCTATGTGACTCTCCAGTCATCCCAGATTAGAATATAATTTAATTTTATGTATAAGTCTAAAAGCCTTCCTCATACCAAACTTCCTAATACTTCTCCCCTCCCCTTTTCTGACTTTTCAACCCACATGACCAACGGATGGACAGATATTCAGAACCAGAAGGAAGTGAAATGCTCACTCGACAAACAGCACATCTTTCTCAATGCAGTTATCATATACAAGACACACCACAATAAAACTAATGACATTATGGGGACCCTTTGAGGTGTAGAGACTAAAAGAAACTATGTGAGATTGGGAAAATAGAACAGCAAATACTCTTAGATTATACCAGTCTCATTTCTCAGTCCAGTCTCCTTGACCACCTCAACTTTTGTTTCCTGGGACTTAGTATTCTGCTTTTTGCCCCACATCCCATCCTTAATAATTACATTACAGATTCCTCTGAGAGCTGGTGAGAGAAAATACCTCACCTGGAAAGGGTAAGGGAACCTTTCAATGATTGAGATCTGTTCCATTTCACCAGACTCTTCACCTCTTCTCTGCAATGAAAGAAGAAAAATCATGGTTATTGGTTGGTGCATTGTTCTTTCCTGGATTTCCTTTGGTTCTGTGAGTTCTTTGTAGTGGGACAAGAAGGCTCTCCTGCACAGACTATTCAGATTCTTAGTGACTGCTTCCTATAACCCAGTAAAGACACATATCCATAGGAACAATCACATATTCATTTTTTTAAAAAGCTCCAGACATCTCAAATCATTGCAGAAATTGAGTTTACGCAATAAATGGTACTGGGACATTTAACCACTAATATTGGTGGGAGGGGAAGGAGTTAGGTAGCTATTTCACACCATATACCAAAGTAAATTCTGGATGGATTCAAAAGCTTAATGTAAAAATTAAAACTGATCCCTAGCTAGTTTGACATCAGCCTGTGGACTGAAGTGTCCCAGGTTCAATTCCAGTCAAGGGTACATGCCCAGGTTGTAGGTTTGATTTCCAGTAGAGGTCAAGCAGGAGGTAGCCGATCAATGGTTCTCTCTCATCATTGATGTTTCTATCTCTTTCTCTCCATTCCTCTCTGAAATCAATAAAAAATATATTTTAAAAAATGAAACCGAATGACAGAGAAAAAAAAAAAGCAACTGATGGTATAATCTTGTGGGAGATAAGAGCTTTCTAATGGTAAAATTTAAAATCATTAAGGTGAATTAATTTGATGACATAGACTTTAAAATCTATAGTCTTTAACAACAACAAAAATAATAATTGCAAAATAAGGCAGCAATTAAATACCATTTTTCTTGGCTGCCAACTTAACAAACATTTACAATATCTGGTAATTTTTGTTTTGTTAATCCTCACCTGAGAATATTTTTCCTTTTATTTTTAGAGAGAGTGGAAAGGAGGGGAAGAGACACAGAGAGAGAAACATCAATGTGAGAGAGACAAATCAATTGGTTGCCTCCTGCACGTGCCCAGATCAGGGTTGGGATTGAGCCTGCAACTGGTCCTTGACCAAAATAGAACCTGGGAACTTTCATCCAAGGTGGTCTATCCACTGAGCCAAACTCGTCCAGAGCTATAATATCTGGCTTTGAAAAAAAAATGTAGAAAAATAGATATTCTCATGTACAATTTGTAAGAGTGTATTAAATTTAAACTCCATGTCTAGTAAACAAAATAGAATAAAAAAGATAAAAATAATCAAAGTGCACAGATATCATAAAGAGAAGAAAACATTTTACTTCTAGGAGGTTATTGAAGAAAAAGACTAACAAAAGTATATAAATATGTATGCAAGGATGTTCCTCCAACATGGTTTATTATGTCAAGTAGTTGGAGACAACTTAAGTGTGCAGTAATAGGGAATTATTAAACAAATTACAGAATAGTATGTCGATGATAAGGAATACTATGCAGCCATGAAACTCATATTATTAATGAGTACCTATTGTCATGGGGTAAAGTTTTCATATGTTGAAAATGTAGGTTGCAAAGCAAGATGCATACTATGATTCTATGTTTTAAATAATATAACTTATACTAGTGTGGGAATATGTGTTGCTTATGGAATAAAAACATATACCAACATGTTAATAGTGTTTTAACTAGATGATGTGATTATATGTGATTTTATCTTTTCTTATGTTTTTTTTTATATTTTTGCAAGTTTCTACATTGTAATCTGAAAAAAAAATGATATTTAAAAATTAACTCAGTAAGCAGTATGCCCAGGAGAGGCTATTGAAAATGAGAGGAGAATAAGTGAACTATTTTTTAAAAATTCATATTATTCAGAGCCTACTCAACCTTGTAAATCTGACCCTGGTAATTGAGAGAGTAAAACCAACCATCTCTGATTAGTTTGAAAAGTTGACATGATGCCATCTTGAAATCTGTGTGACAAATTTTCTCAAGTAAATTAATTGTTCTGAATCTGAGGGAAAATGCTGAGACTTGGTAGAATCAGTACATGACAGTGAAGAATTTTATGAAGTTTTTTTGTGTGTTCTACATTGTACAGCATCACCAACCAGTTTATTTACAAAGAATTGAAGTGTTCAATGATTCTTATCTACTCCCCCATCACCTACCCCACCCCTGTTCTCTCAATGGTCTCTTCTTACCGGAATCTGTCTTTCAGGGGGAGGATTTTTTTCAGGAACCACTGTTTCAACACAGGTGATCTTCTCAACATCTATAGAACCCTTCTTACTGCCTCTTCTCTGAGAAAGTGAGGAAGAAAATGGAGAAAGAATATATATGATGTGTTGTGGAACTGCACACATGAAACTTAATTATATTAACCAGTGTCACTCCAATAAATTCAATAAAAAGGAAATAAAGGATTAAGCAACTGGATGATTACATTTTGTTATCTACTCATTCAACATAGTCAGATGACACCAATGATCTATTATCAGGCCCTGTCATTTTTAAAAAAACAAAACAACAACAACAACTTCCACATCTCACCCTTTTTTGACTACCAGATGGAGGGTAAGCACTATAAAAGAGTGGATGGCTGTGTGTCTTTATAACAAAAAATAAGGAAGCGATTTTCAAGTCTTGGATTTCATTCTCAACAATCATTTAGTGAATGCTCACCAATGGCAAAATCACATGGTATGATTTTCCTCACGGGTCCTTAGCACCCTTGAATTTTGGCTCCTACGTGGCTGTGGCTAGTCCAGGAAACATTTTGCTGAGTTTAAAATGTACTCTACTCCCTTCCACCTTTCTCCTCCAACCAAAAAGCCCCTAACTCCTCCCAAATGAAGATCTAAGGCCAAGTCATTGATACTCAGGTATCACAGCAGAGACACTTACCCCACGTTCAAAATCATACTCATAGTAGGAAAGTTTCTGCACGGTCAAAAGAAACAGGCGCTTTTTGAAGTTTAAAGGTGATGTTTTCTTTTTCTGCTGGGATCGCTTCAGAAAGATGCTCTCCAGTATTACTGCAGCCATAGCTTCGTCTTTCTGGAGCTCACTTGTGTGCTGTTGATAATGAAACCTCATGACAACCCATCACATTTATTATAATCATCCCTCATACCACCTCAGCCTAGCCACCTAGTTTCAAATGGAATAGAAATGTGTAAAGCTAACAAAGGACTTTCTTACCTTAGCATCCTTTTCCCACAGTCCCCGTCTCTATCAGTTTTCAGGTATAAGGGATGTACATTGAATAGGGTGGATTGGTTCTACATTGTAACCTCACATAAATGAGACAATGAAATGCTCTGGATGTCAAATGACATGTACCCGTGTACTTGGTAATGTCTAGAGGCAAATTTATACTAATCGCCCTTTTATGATGACAAGTGCAGAATCTGTGAATAGCAAAATTCTCTGCGCAGCTGTTGACTCTGACATCCCCAACATAGATAATGCAGGTGCCAGAACTCCACTGAGGCAGATATTGGACTTTCAGTTCCCAGTTTCCTAGATGGTGAGTATAATTTTTCAAACATTGTTCCACTGGGGGCTGTGCAAGGGGTCTAATAAGGATATGGAATGTGCACTTGCAATTACGGATGAATACTAACTGCCACCCAACTGATTTTGCCCATCGCCCACTGATAGAGCTACAAGTGATTGAAACTTTGTTCTAAAATTTTAAAAATATATATTTTGGGGGAAGAAGTTGTTTTTGATTTTTGGCTTTTCTCCACCTTTTTACTTAGATTAGTTCTTAAACAGCATCATGCAAAAATGATACAGTCTTACTCCTATGGATGCCATTCTGATCATTTATAAAAAGTAACTCATTTAGGCACTCTCCAAACTTATAGTACCCAGAAACATTTAGTTTAAGTAACTGAAATACAAAAAGGCAGAGGAAGTTACACAGAGTCACCATTTTTTATTAACACAAACAGCACTTCATAACAGTTATTCACTTAAAGTTTATGCATGATCTTATATTACGAATTCCAAACCTTTATTAGAACTATAAGGTGAAAATACAAATACTGTCACAAAAACAGAACCCTAAAGAAATCCTGAAAAAAATCATTCCCTCTCAAGTTTTGTTTGTGGTGGTTTTTTTTCCCCCTGGGGTGGGGATTTAGCTTTTAAACTAAACTCTTTATGCTTTTGGTGGCACTAGAAAGCAAAATAAAGTCAGTAGGTTTTTCCACTGCTTGTGAAGCACATATTATTGCTCACACCAGGAAAGCAAGGGAGTGGTTTTTATTGAAGCCTGGGTCTATCCACATTGTTATATCACTCTTTTCTGTGATATAGAAGTATCTATTATTACTGGAGGAGAAAAATAGGTTAAAGGAACAGCAGAGATGTTCAGAATGATCTGCTATGTGGATGCCATTGTCTTCTGGGGGTGGATTAGTTCATGGTTTGTAAATAATCTTTCAAGAAAAAAAATGGGCAAAAGAGCAAACCTTTCCCCACACCCTGCCACACAGCTCTCTTCCTTAACTCCTTGGTTTAAATGGGAATGACAAATTCTTAAGATTTTACAACCAATGAGAATTCTTTTTTATTCAGCTAAAATCCCAGAGATTCTTTTGACATTAAAGTTATTTATTTAAACAGAAATAGTGGTAACCAACTAATAATACTCTTTTCTCAGGAACTGCTAACTCATGGAAATCCATATAATAATATTACATTTGTTCCCATGGTGAATTCTAATTAAGTACCTCTTCACAATCAAAGACTCAAATTACATTAGACAAAATAAAATCCTAAAGAAACTGAGTAGGAAAACCAGAAAATTGGATCTGAAGCTTCCCAACAAACCATATCTCGCTATGCGTTTTTCTTCTTCTTCTTCTTCTTCTTCCTCTTCTTCTTCTTCTTCTTCTTCTTCTTCTTCTTCTTCTTCTTCTTCTTCTTCTTCTTCTTCTTCTTCTTCTTCTACTTCTTCTTTATCTGTAAAGCACATCTATCGATAGCATTTTGTCTTTGGTTTTGTTGCAAACTCTTGGTAGATATATTCCCTGCTCAGACTCAACATCTGCTTCAGTCTTGGTCTCTGTTCCTATTTCCTATAAGACAGGTCCTTCTGGAAGCTGCCTCTGCTCTTTTTCATTTTTAGAACGAATCCAGTTTGTACAAGAGGGAGCCTTCCTCTCAAGTGTCTGCGTTGGGGTAGGGTTTAGTGTTTGTCTAAGTATGAGGAAGTAAGCCTCTTACTAGCCACAACCCCTGTGAGCTAGCGATGAAAGGGCCTCTACCTAGTCTAGATCATTAAGCTGAAGGATTACTGGGATTTCCATGGCCTGAACATCCCTTCTCTGACTGCTCTTCTCCAATTTTCTTGTGATCCAGTCTGGAAATGCAGCCTGAAAATGTGGCAGTTTTTTCTTAGTCACCACTGATCCTTCCAGCAATAATGTGAAAGGAGAGGTATTCATCTTTATGTCTTTCTGAAGGTTGCTATGTAATGAACATTGTGTGTTAGAAAGCACTTGCAGTTTCTTTGGGTATGTATTATAGCAGGTACTAATTTTTTTCCTAACAATTTCAGATGCCTACAGAGTTGATTTGATGACAAACATGCACTATGAGAACTGATCATACACTTCACTCAGAGGGTGGAAATGGAAGTGACATGAATGTAACACACACACACACACACACACACACACACACACACACACACACACGTTCATATAAAGAAAGAGGAGGAAAAGTAATAGAAAGACACAGAACTCTCTGTTTAAAGTACAGAATTACAACATTATAATGTTCTCTTTATTAAACTAAAAAGCAAAGATTTTGAATTTTATAAGAAATAGTTCAGCCATCTTACAGACTGGGCTATACCAATAAATTAATATATATAGCACTTGCAGAATCAGTCATCTGAACCACCTTTGGCTCCTATCTTTATTCAAATTAATATAAAACATTATTAGGGACAACACCAGAACAAAATTCAGAAAACTTCATAGCCTGCCTATAATTGGGAAGAATCCAGAAGATGCTAATTAGAAATAACCAGTCATGCCCTGACCAGTTTGGTTCAGTGGATAGAGCATCAGCTTGCATACTGAAGGATCCCAGGTTCAAGTCCGGTCAAAGGAATGTACCTTGGTTATGGGCACATTCCCAGTAGGGGGTGTGCAGGAGGTACCTGATCGATGTTTCATATATTTGACTGGAAATATATCCAGTCATTAATAGTTCAAACAATTACTTAACCAGATATTCAAGAAGCAGTCTGTTCTCTTTATTTCTTCTTTAAAGCATTACTTAGTTTCTCAGCAAGATTCTGGCTATTTCTTTTTCTCCCCAGGTAAATGAAAGAGAACTCTTGTTTCAATGCAGACTACCTGTCAGGCATTTTACATGCATTATTTTATTTATTTCTTTAAAACAAAACAAAACACACAAAACAGATGAAGGAAATGAGGCTCAGAGAGATTATGTGATTGTCCGACCTCATCCATCTGGACTCCACAACCCTTACTGTTTCTTTAGTACTTCATTGCTTCCCCGAGGGTTGTTTTCTTTTTTTTTTTTTTTTTTCAATGAGGTGTGATGCCATCTACCTCAGTATCCTGTCATTTTTCATGGCTATTATCAAACAGTAGTTGGGACAGACTCCTACTCATCTTTCAGGAACATTCAGCATAAGAGGAAATGGTGGTAATAACAGGGGATAAGAGGATTGTGGAGCACTTTCCTCTGCAATATTCTTCCAGGCTGGAAAAGATCATTTTCCTTGTTAACTGTCCACGGTATCTTTTCCCACATGAAGATTCTTTCCTACATGAAGTCCTGCCAGGTTTGCTTACATTTTCCTTTAAATCTACCACAAGGAGATCCTAACTGGCGCATTCCTAAAATCACTCACTGTTTCCTTTTCATTGTTGATGGGATAAAAGCTCAGGGGTTAGGTAGAATGCTCACTTTTTGTCCCCTGGGTTGTTATTGCTTATTATGGATGTAAAACTTTGATTGAGTGAACTTTCTTTTATAATATGAAATATTGCAAATAGACAAAAGTACAAAGAATAACATTATGCTCATGTACTCACCACTTAGCTCTACAGAGTCCTAACTTTGTGTCATAATTGCTTCCAGAGGTGGACAAAGCGGCGGGGTTGGGAAGGTGGGGGTGGTAATGGGCACAGAAATAAATTTTGCTTGGGGCGATGGGCACATATAGGCAGTGTGCAGATAATATTTTATGGAGTTTTACACTTGAAATCTGTATGGTTTTATTAACCAATGTCACCCCCAATTAATTCATTAAAAACAAAAGAAAAAGAAATAAATGTGTCCTAGGTAGTTTGACTCAGTGGATAGAGCATCGGCCTGAGGACTGAAGGGTCCTAGGTTCGATTCTGGTCAAGGGCACATGCCCAGGTTGCGGGCTTGATCTCCAGCAAGGGTCATGCAGGAGGCGGCCAATGATTCTCTCTCATTATTGATGTTTCTATCTCTCTCTTCCTCTCTGAAATCAATAAAAATATATTTTTAAAAATGCGATACCATCCATAGAGTAAAATCTTTCTTGTGTCCTCCATAATCCATCACTTCTTCCTTAGAGGTTAGCAGTATTTTTTAAATTTTTAATGCGTTTTTTACAGAGTGGAAGAGAGAGGGATAGAGAGTTAGAAACATTGATGAGAGAGAAACATTAATCAGCTGCCTCCTGCACCCCCCCTACTGGGGATGGGTCCCCAACCAAGGTATATGCCCTTGACCGGAATCGAACCTGGGACCCTTCAGTCCACAGGCCAATGCTCTATTCACTGAGCCAAACTGATTAGGGCATGTTAGCAGTATTTTGACTTTGTTTTTTGTCATTCGTGGGCATGTTTTTATATTATTACTATATATGTAAGTATTCATAAAAGATATTTAGTACTGGTTTGCATGTTCTACATTTTTATATAAGTGGTACAAATTCTTTAACAACTTTCTTTCTCAATGTAATGTTTTAAGATTTATTTGTCTTGGTAGCTCTAGTTCATACATTTTTACTGAAT